TTTTTTTTTTTTTTTTTTTTTTTTTTTTTTTTTTTTTTTTTTTTTTTTTTTTTTTTTTTTGGCGTGAGATTTTTTTTAACGGAACTCGGATATTTTCACGTCACTGATTTCAAGTCTGCTATCGGTTCAAGTTTAAAAATGTCGTTGTACGCCGCTAAGGACGCTGAACTGTCTCTTCACATGCTTCTGAACAATGAAGCTCTCCCAGATGCTTATAACAACAGTTTCAAGCATCGGCTTTTAAGCAGTTTTAATTCGAAAGATGTGCCTTAACTCCTATAGAAGTTTGTCGCAATATTTATGGGAGCTCTTGTTTTTTATAACATTTTAAAGTTATGCATTTAGACAAAAAACAGACTAAAAATGTCATTTTGAAAAAAAAATCTGCAGCTTCAACAGCAGAACTAATTTCGTTACATAAATAATTTAACTTTAAAAATCCTTATTTACTTAAGGTTCTGCTATATCCAAGACAAATTGCCCGAAACCAATTGATTGCGAAGGCTGGCTTCTAAATGGATACAATAAAAGTGGAACTTACACAATTTGGCCGAGAAATAGAGTGCTTCAAGTTGAATCATTGGATGTCTTCTGCGACATGGATACCGATGGAGGAGGATGGACAGTAAGATAAAATTTTAGGCAAATAAAATTATATTCGTCGGATTTTACATTTATTCTAAGAAAACACTTTTTATTATATAGTTGATAATAAAATAAAATTAAATTAAATAAAAATATTTAAAACTTGAACTTTTAGTTTATACTGCTTTGAAATTTTTTACTTTATTTTTGTCATAAAAGATGTGGGATGCAAAAATTTCAAAAAAATGGGGAATTTTCGGTATTAATAGAAGTTTTTTACAGTAAAGCATTCCCGCAACAGCCTCCTGTGGGCCGGGGTTGAATGGAAGTTCAGGCTCCACAATTTTATGACCAATGACTTGATTGTGGCAATGTGGTTAGCGTTGTGTACAGGTCGCTTTTACAAGCCGCCACTGAGGAACTTCTGTTCACTACAATGATAGTCCAGTGCCTTAGCCACTGAGCCATTATGGTTCTATAGAAACTTCTTACAAAAGTTCATTTATTTGTAGCATGTATTTTCGTTACACACAGAGCTCTAGTGATTTGAGCACTCTAGTTTGTCGGAATTTTTTTTTACTGTAAATACCTGTGACGGTAACAGAGAAATGTATTCTGCATGTTGGGAAACGATTGAAGTTTGCACGGTTAATAAACGCATTTCAATTGATAAAAACTATTTGGCAATAACATCACTACTGTTTGTAACAGACTGTTTGTAACAGCCAGGAAAAGAATTAAACGTGACTTGACATCAGGATCTGTGTTCTTTATCTAGTCGGAAAGCGGCTGAAATTTAATTGCTAGAGTCGAAAGCGAGTTAATAAAGATGTAAAAGTACTAATATAACATCTCGGACATTTATTGATTTATTGGAGTAGTTAGCTGAAATTATGGGTTTTTACCTGAAATTTCAAGTTTCCATAAGTGTTTTAACTTTTTTTTCGCACCAAATATATTTTAGATTAAAATAAATCCAAAACATTAATTCTTAAATGAGTAACTCTGAACATCCATAGAAATTTTAAGAAGTTTAGGTTCAGTTTTTTTTCCAGTTATATAAGTAATCACCGTTTTAAAATCATGCTTGTAGAGATTCTCTAATGTTATTAACTCTGAAAAGTGACGTGATTTTTTGGAGCAATCGGATTTCTCAAGCATCTGACTGATTTATTGTAATTTCTGTCTGATTTATATGTTGTTTTTTCAGTCAATGCAATAAAATATCGTGAAATCTAGACAACTTCCTAAAGTTTTTAGCACATCTAAATCTTGATAAATACACGAGAAAGCATTAATGATAAGAGATAGAACAAACAAAGAATGAAGTATATATATAAATTTTTTTTTGTTGATATGAGGTGTTCATATAAAGTCTGATTCGCTCAAATGGTAGTTATACGCCAAACATTTCCTCAAATGCGTAGAAATTAATTTCTTTTCTACTTGTATTTATTTGATCATCTGAATTAGAACTGACAGAACGCCAGTAAAAATAACAATCAATTCGCTGTCACTGTTCTGTCTGCGTTTTCACTCAAATGTTTACTTCTGGCTTCGACTGTGATAAATATATTAATTTTGCAACCGCTTCTTTAATGTCAACAATTTTCCTAATTTAGATTTTCATTTAAATTTCTAAGGAAATAAATTCGCTTTCGAATTGACTTTGAGACAATGTTGAGACCTGTTGAAATGGAAGATAAAACGACGAAATTAGCACCACCACAATTTGGAGACTGATTTCCTTGTCAAACCAAGGCAATTATTAGGTCTAGAAGTAGAATGTGAAGGTTTTAAATTATGCTTTTTATGATTTCTGTATTATAATTTGTCGGACGAGCTCAATATTTAATACTTCATTCTATTCGAACAAAATTATAATTAAGAAAAATAGCTCGAAAAACTTAATGAGAATACAAATAAATCACCCCGCAGCAAAATATGTTTATAAAGGAAAGGACAAAAAGAAAAGCTGGATCACGAGTCACTAAGCAAAATTAGGTCTAAATTTGTCTAGTATGTAAAGGATTGTAGTATTTGTGTAGTATGCCATACAAGATTAATATTAAGCACATCACACTTTACTGTTTAAATTAGTAACGGTCTTCTGTATTGGTTCTCAAAGTTTTTTTTACAGCAACTGCTTATTTTTGTAATATTTTAATCAGATATTAAAAAAATAAAACTAATTATAAGTGTTAAACGTTAAGAGGTAGATAGGATTCAATTAATATTCGTTATACTACAAAAATGGCGAACTATTCAGCATCTGTATTTAATAAAATGTTTAAACTTAGTTAATTTACCAGAAATTAAAAATATTTAACTAATACCTGATTTCTTTTAGAACTCCAGTAGAAAGTCACTGAGCTGTGAAATTCTATCATTGATTCAAGAATTATTACTATATGCGTCAATGATTAAAATTGGGAGGACGTGCTATATATTTTTTTCTTAAAACGCATTTTGTTATTTTATGGGATTTTATGAAGTAAGAGCAAATACTCATCATTCGTTTCAGAATCTGTCACAAATACTTTTTTTTTGTCTCTGAAAAAAGGAACTGAATGATTGCTTCTTTAAATCATGTTAAAAATTAATATTACTTAAAAATATTTTGGAAGTTATTTATCTGTAGTTTTATTTATTTTTATGTTGTTGTGCTGCTGTTTATAATGGTTGGTTGGTTGGTGTCGTATCTATTGAATCATATTTCATGGTGTGCTTGAATAGTTTTTGTTATTTCTATGCCATTAAATGAATATAAATTCTGTTTATAATGCCACTTGCCAATATCAGCTAGCCAACTTGGTGAAACCAAGCATAGTTAAGCGGAGTATACGTTTCTTGTTTGCAGTGGAGACATCTATGGCCAGGAATACGAATCCAGCCACACACACACGTCACAACTCATTAATAGGGCGGAGCCATTCACACATTCATTCATTCATCCAAAGATCGTAACTTTGATCTGGACCAGAGAACGATCAATCTACAATTCCCTCAGAGGTATTGATTTGTTATGGGAGCATAGAGGACTTGCGATCCGACAGATTTAACGTGCACCAGTCACCATTTACTACACGGGGAGTCTTCGGCCCGGCTGTGATCGAGCTCACGATCCCTTGGGCCCAATGTCCTACCAACCAGTCAACTCCGACATTCCAGTTATATTTGAGAATTTATGCAGATTGTCACTAATTACTTAAAAAGAGCATTTTCGGCCCTTTTTGTGTTATCGACGAATTCTATGAGTGAAGGATTGTTGCTCCATTGAATTTTTGACACCAAACATCGCCAATCACGGTTGAATACCTTGATCACACGTGACTTAAACTTTCATGGAAATTTTAAGTATTTTGAAATGTCATTGCATTCTTCTTTTTCAGACACCTAATAAAATGTTACGCTTGTTTTTAATAGGTTATTCAAAGAAGAGGAAACTACTCGAGGCCGAAAGATTATTTTTATAAAAATTGGTCCAGCTATAAATCTGGTTTTGGAGATATCGAAAAGGATTTCTGGTTAGGTATATAAAGTATTTTTTAACCATTCTCTTCGTCGTCTTTAGAAATTAAGAAAAAGAAAAATCTAATTTTATATTTAATTTATTTATATATTTGATATCGATCACTTCTTCAACACTGATGGTTATACAATATGTCTGCTTAAATCCGTAGCCACCTTCTTAACTTTTAACTTATTTTTGCTATAGTTATAAAAGTGGTATCTATATACAGTAATGTGCCCATGCGTGCTAAAGTTGGACTATATACGTTATCACTTTGTGCAAAAATAAGAAACTAGCAATACGATCTAAAAAGGAAAAATTGAGTTGTTGGGAATAATCGATTTAGTACTAACACCTAGTGGACTACTATGTTAAGAAAAACGTTCGAAAATCGTATTCGTTTGCTCATGATTTCCTAACTGTAATGTGACGGCAGGAATTAGTTACCACAAGACACGTAGTTTATTGACAACTAGTGTTTTTCTCTTTTCCCATGGTTTAAATCATGAAAAAATAAATTGACATTTTAAGAGGAGTCACTTAGTCACTTTTTCTCACTATTAATATTCACAAGTGATCCAATCGTACTAAATCGGTGTGGTTATAATTTTGTAACTCATTTTTTTAGCGATCTTTTACCGTTGTAGAGATACGAACTGTAATTCCGTAGTTTCCACAGGTGGTTCTGTATGTGATCTTACCTTGGAGCCCATAGCCTTTTTACTATACAAAGATACAACTTTTATAAATAAAGACGAAGCATATGCATTGCATACGATCAACAATAACAATAATTCACTTAAAGTTATAATTCCTCTGCTACAGATTCAATTCAGGAAGAGGTAGGCAAGATAGGTAACGCAATATTATACAAAGAATGGCTACTTTTTTTATTGTAGGCCAATTAGACTATCAAATGATAACTTTCGGCATGATTATGATTTTGACTCAATACTCAGAAAGTGTTCTAGATATTGAACGTAACCAGACAATTAATGACATACTTTTGAACCTACCTCAAGAAAACCACGGTGACGGAGAGGGGCAAATCGGGGTAAAATGTATTACCCCGCTTTATTGAGAAGTGGTGAGGAACTAATGTCGTTAACAAAGGAGTCAAATTCAAGAATGGCCACTGCGGTTTTTCTTTTTCGTGTGGTTGTTCACTGTGGTTATTCTCTCTCGGCTGTTAAGGTTTTTTATTTTTGTCTCACCCCTTTATTTTTTCATTTTTCGTAAACAACGTTACATTTTATATTTCAAGCCACTTTTTTTTTCTTAATTTTTCACGGGGATAACCTCAAATATGTTAATTAATTTCCGTGGACGATATTCTAAGTTACGAAATCAGACTAGAAAACGTACTTTCTCTGATATTTAATAAATTTTTTTGACAGATTTGAATTTCTTACTCTCAAAATGAAAATGGTAGATGAGTAGGGGAAAAATGAGCGCTACGCCCCTTTTCCTCAGTATGGATGAGCGTTCAACCCAGTGATGAGTTCTTAGTGGGGATGACGTAGCATGGTTTAGACTAAACAAATGCTTATTAAAAATTTTGGGTATTTATTTCCTCATAACTCTGGGTATATTTGAAAAATTTGACGCTTTCTTTTTCATTTGAAGCAAGTTTCAAATGAATGTCTAATTGAAAATAATTGTAAAAAATTCGCAAAGTGTCCTCTATTATGTAACCATATATAAGCTCTTAATGTTGAATGACTTAGACTAAACAAATGCTTCTTAAAAATTTTTTTTAATTATTTTATACAAATTTTATAGTTCAGCGAAAAAAATTTCGATTCACTTAAAAAATTTCTCGAGATTTTTCGAGCAAAATGCGCAAAAAGTAAAATTAGCATAAAGGAGTTCAAATTTTGAGCTTATCAAACTATTTGGACAATATTTCCCAGATTACGTATATCATCATCAAAAAAAGGTATGCTTATTAAGAGAAAGTACGTTTTTGTGTCTGATTTCGCAATTTAAAATATCATCTGCAGAAATCAATGAGCATATTTGTGGTAAATCCTCAAAACATTAAGTTTGAGTCCCAGTGCGTGAAAATTTAATGATTAGGTCGAAAAATACTCATATTTTTAGCCACTGCATATATGCTCTCCATTTTTGACCGCTACTCTCATCTCCTGAAGTAGCTAAAGTAGTAATGCGTTTCAATTCATTCGAAGCACATTTTCGATTAAGAATTCCAATTTTTTCTGTTTTTGGAGTTCATGGAGCACATTTGCATTCAAAACGAAAATGGTACGGTTAGTTATGATTGGCTAGCATCATTATTATTGAAATGAAGGGCTTTGGATAATACAATGATAAGCTACACCTCCAAATTGTTCAAGAGAGTCTTTTTGTTGAATAACATCACAATATCGAAGTAACAAATATGATGTCTTTGCCTATTGTAGTGCTATCTAATAAAAATTGCAAAACAGTCTAAATTCTGATGTGAAAACAAGACTAAGGAACAATTGTATGTAAAGATGTCTCCTTCGGAAGAAAGTGGCTTATCTCTGCATTGCTTCAAGCCCTTCAAATAAAATTCATATAGAACAATTGCATTATTGAGGGGTTATTATATGTTTCTTTACTTTCTTTTAAAAAAATTTCAAGAATCAAAATCTACATGTTAAATAATATTTCAGGGAATGACAATATATTTGCTTTGACTAACCAAAAGCTGTACTCCGCCCGTTTCGATTTAAAAGATATACGTCATGCTAAGAGGTATGCACTGTATGATAAATTTTGGACTGATGATGAGGCACACAATTACACCCTTCACATTGAAGACTACACTGGAGATGCAGGTAACCTTTCCAGTTTTATTTTGCTTTCTAATTTAAATATTACTTTCATTATTTCCACATTGTACCCGAATGCAAATGACAGTGAATTATTTCAATCATTCAGAGTAATTCAGAAATTTCTTTCGTATTCTGAATTTTACATATAACGTGCTCGATATTACCTTAATAAACTTAATTATCTAGTCTAATTACAATTCGGCATGTTACTATTAGTTATGTTTTCAAATCTTATTTTTCTTCTTTGAAGATTAGACGACCAGCAAAGCTCACCCCGATGATGTTGTCGTTTTTTTCTTGTATTTCACTTTGGTTCTTTTTCGCTTGTATGTACACAGAAGAACTATTACATTATGACCACCCTACTAATAACATGTAGGACCACCTTTAGCCCTCAAAACTGCTAGCACCCGCCGTGGTATTGATTCCAAAAGATGCTGATAGGTAGTCTGAGGTATCTGGTACCAAGCGCTCACCAACTGGTCCTGCAATTCCCTCACATTGTGAGGGGGTAGCGTGGCAGCACGAATTTGGTTTTCTAAGTAGGACTACAAATGCTCTATTGAATTAGGTGAATTTGGAGGCCAAGACATGACTTGAAAGTCACTGGAATGTTCCTCGAACCAATCCATGACGATTTGACCCTTATGACATGGTGCATTATCCTGTTGGTAAACACCATCCCCCGCAGGGAAAACTGTTACCATGAATGGGTGAACCTGGTCTGTAACTATGTTCAAATAGCTTACAGACGTCAGGGATTTTTCTATGAGGATTATGGATCCTAATGTGCCCCATGAAAACATTGTTCTTGCGCGAGAAACCAAGAAAACCTGGGGGAGTCCATTGTTATAGATGGAGGGTGGTCATAATGTAATGACTCTTCGGTGTATATGTTGTAGCTTAATTGAAAAATCTGTCTCTTTGCAAGTGTCATCAGAATATATAAGCGTTACAGGTTATTTTGAAAAAATTTTGAGCATTTCCTAATCTACCTGATATCATTTAGTCCCAGTCCCCACAATCAGCCTATTTACTTTTAAACAATTTAGAAAACGTGGGAAGAATATTTAAATTAGTTAGATTTTGTTTCTTATAACAGGTAGGTAGACACTTTATTTAATTCACACTACAGCTGCACAGTGGGCTATTGGCAATTGTCTTGGAAACATCCCTGAGGATGATCCGAATACATGCCATCACAATTTGTGAGCCCACTTCCTCAATTTAGACATAGATTTGGAGGGAAAGGAAATTTTCTCCAGATCCTTGTACCCATGGTACTGCTCAGCGACCGACTATAAGACTTTCGAGTCCACAGATTTTGCGATCACGTGCCTCGCATGCACTCGGTGGATCTTGGTGGAGTCGAGGATTGGCTCTGGGCTACCACGGTCTGTTTATTATTACACTAAACCATTAATAAGATGAGTTACAATAAGCCTTCATTTAGTGGACTTAGTGCGAATTTACGAAATAAATCTTAATTTAGAATTGCTAATATATTTTCTGATTAGCCTAAAGGTATGTGGGCTCACTGCGTTAAGCGTAGAAAGTATCATGGTGATTAGAAAATATTGTAAAGTTATTAAGTTTGACAAGTGCATTGCAAAAAGTCGATGACATTTGCAAAAATCCTTATTTTTTTCCAATTTGCTGTGATATATATATATTTTCTTCCAATGCCGACCTGCGTTAACAGTTCGTCAATTCAGGCATTTACAGGGCAATTTTTGTTGGCCTCTCTTTCAGGAGCGCCATATTAGGTGGGACAACGTTGCTCCCACAGTATTGACAGATAGTACAGAGAAGGAAAGAACATCCATGCCTTGCCCAGGATTCGAACCCAAGAACCTTTCTGATGCAAGGGCAGTTCCCTAACCCCTACACAGGCCGGTCGGCTTGCTGCGATATATACTCACATATTTCTCCTTAAACCATTTTAGAATTTCACTATGTTTTTAAGATGTTTTGAATTCCTTTGCTATCTCTTTTACAGGTGATGCGATGAAAACGCATAACAATATGCAATTTTCAACAAAGGACGTGAAGAATGATTTAAATGGTAAGGACAGTTGCGCTCACATCTTCAGAGGTGGATGGTGGTACAATGCTTGCCACAATGCCAACTTAAACGGGTTGTATCTACCAGGAGAGCATCCCAGTTACGCAGATGGTGTCAGCTGGATAATTTGGAAAGGAGGTCATGAATCACTGGCCTCAGCGGAAATCAAAATCAGATCTAAGAATTTTAGAAAGAGAAGAGTTGCGTTTGAGTGCAATAACTGAGAAATAAAAATTATTTGATTAAATTCTTATTACCTATAGAAGTGTTCTGAGCTTAATTATAATTTTTGGTCTATTAATTTAGTTTCATAATACAAAATTTGCGTACATGATATTATTAAATAAGTTTTTCTCTTCAGGTGGGAAGCGTGTATTAGAACGATTACAAGCATATAAAGAACTTAAGGATATTTCTTTAATAGAGATATAAATCATCCATTTAAGTTTTTATATAAAGTATCTCTAATATAAGTATTTTTTCTTCAAATAACATGTGCAGGTACAGAGTGCAAAATAAAAAACGGACCACCCTGAAAAACTTTTGATCTATGGGTCGGATCTTTTAGAACTTAATCTTAATAGTTCGAGGAGGTGATCTCAAATAGGCTAACGAATTAGTACAGATGGTATTTAAATTACGAAATCAGGCACAAAAGCGTACTTTCTCTGAATAAATATAAATATTTTTTGACAGATTCGTATATCTGACTCCCAAAATATAGGGGGTAGCCTGCGATGGTATGAGGGGTTTACCTTAAATATGCTAATTAATTAGAGCATACGGTATTTTAAGTTACAAAATCAGATACAAGAACGTAGTCTCTGAATAAACATGCCTTTTTCATTTGACAGACTTGGATTTCTGACCCCCAAAATATAGGGGATAGCTCCAATCTGGAGAATATGGTTTCAATAGTTTGGTCGGGATAGTGATCCAAAGTTTGGACACTTAAATGCTACTTTTGATAAATACGTATTTCGCCATATCTTGAGAACGAAATATTAATCTTTGTTTATCCAAAGTTATATCCAAATATATGTTTGTTTATGCGAAGTTATATCCAAATATATATATGTTTATCCAAATATTATGAATATTTGTTTATCCAAAGTTAATTTCATGCAAAAAGGTTTTTTATTGGTGTTTATTACTTTATTTAATAATAGTCGAAAAAAATTTGAATTGCAAAATATGCAATTTTTAACAGTATTTTTACGAATGCAATTTTGTATGGTAAAATAAAAAGTTTGAACGAAATCAGTTCCTAAGGAATCGAATCTCAAAAACGCAACGCTCTTTAAAATTTATTTTCTCAGAAACTATTCGACTGATTTCGCTCAAACTTTGTATTTTGCTATATAAAATTGCATTCTTTAAAATGATGCAAAAAAATTGTAGGTATACCTTATAATTCAAACCTTTTTTCGACTATTGTTAAATAAAATAATAAAAAATGATAAATTTTTACTGAAAGCTATTTTTTGCAAGGAATTTCCTTTGGATAAACAAATTTTGTAATTGTGCGCTAAATTTTTAAAATTTTTTTTGAGATAAACCGATATACTTAAAAAGGAAAATTAACATTAAGGGGTCCAAACTTTGACTCATTTTTCTGACCAAACTATTAGGACCATATTTCCTTTTATGTGGATACCTCATATATGCTGGAGGTCAGAAATTCGTATCCGTCGGTAAAAATGTATGTTTATTCAGAGAAAGTATGTTCTTTTCCCATTTAAAAACTCCTGGCAAACTATAAATACATTATTCTATTAAACAGTAAACGAAATTTCATTCAATTATAGTTCACCTGAAGGAAAGTTTTATTCAGAAATGAAGGCTGAGGTTGAAAACAGTATACAAAAGACTCAAATATTGTCATCCCTCCGTTACCCGGGGTTCACATAGGGGTGATAGATGCCGGATTTTAAACGCGAAGAGGGTATTTGAGATATATTTTTAAGAATGTTATTTTGTTAAGAAGTTTATGTGATTTAAAGCATGGGAATGTTATTTTAAATGACGAATAGAAGTATGCAAAAGTACAGTCATTTTTAAATAAAAGGTGAAGATTATATAAAGAGTACAAATATAAGTTACAAAAAGCAATTAGTAGAAAGAGAAAATACAAGTTAGAAAAAGTAGCGAGAAAAAAAGTTTTGGAAAGTACAAGTGAAAATTAAGGAAAGTAAAGATTTTAAGTGTACAGGAAACTTAAAGTAAAATGTATCGTGAGCAGTTCTTAGATAATTTGATAAAAAGTCAAATTTTGTAGGAAAAAAAAGAAGTAAGAAAATTTTTTTTAAGAAAGGATCTTCACACATTGACTGCTGTACTACGGATGGAAGCTAATTCTTTCCCAACAAAAGTTTAGGTGTGAGTTAGTAATTAACAACAATTTTGCTATTAATTTTTACATCCTTTTCCGAAGATCACCAATTGACAGTGCCATTCATCTTGTTAAGTTTTGCATTTTGGATGAAATTTCAGTGGCAAAATTATTAAAACAAGTAAGGATTGAAATATCTGTTACACAAGATAAAGAAACAATATATTCAGAAAAAAATAAAAAACAGTTTCATATAAATAGCCTTGAAATGGTTAGATGTATATAGTAGAAAGTCTTATATAGATACAGTAGTCGTATGAATGTAAAACTTATATCAAAACCTGAAAGTGTTAAAAAGTTATTATTTACAGAGAAATATATTAAAATAGTGTTACCAAGAAGATCGTTAGAAGAATACTAAAATGATTATAAAACTGAATTTTAATAATAAAATGTAGCTGTTTTTTCGTTGTAAAAAAGAAATTTTTTAAAAACAAAATTGTAATAAAATTATAAGTAAAGTAATCAAATTTCTTTAAGTAGAGACGTGCAACTCTCGTTACTTAATTCATATATTTCACTTTCATTGCTTGTTTTGCGTCCAGTCATGACAAAAAATTAAAACTACTTTACTTCAGTGCACCACAAAATTTCCAGTTTCGATACACCACAACATTTTTCGAATTTCTTTCTCTCGAAAAATATTGATATTTGGCCTTTGGAGACTTCTGATATTACAATATTACACTAAAATTAAAGCTAATTCTTCTGAATTATTCTGATTTCTGCTAGCTATATATGAGTGCTCTTAGGTTTCAAACTTTAATTAGTTGCATTTTTCCTTAAAAAACATCTCATGCAATTTTATTTAAATAAAATACTTGTACTAAAATTGAGTTTTAACGATATGCCACAAATACTATTTTTCATTTAAAAATTTAAAGTTGTCTTTTTTTAAAATCATAGTGCAAGCTAACTATTTTTTGAGGACCTAAGGTGGAGAAATATGGAAACCTTTAAATAGTTTTTAAAATATTTAACAATTATTTTTTACACATTCGATCCACTATATGTTTCTCAAAATATTTCCATCAATGTGTCTCACACTTTTTGAACAATGCGTCAGCACATTTTGTCAAAGTTACAGAAGTATTGCTACTTTATCCCCCAGAACAAATGCATTTTGATATTTTGGATAGTATTTTTTAACTCGGTATACTTGCATCTACATTTTCAAAATTCACTAACACGTTTATTGTTTTGCATGTTATAAAGATAACATCTTTCTAATTTTTTCCACTTGAAGTAACGTCACACGAAGCTATAAAGGGAACTTATTTTCTTCACCAAGAGCTGATGATAGATGAAAATTATAGCACTCAATTGCCCAACGATAATACCTGTTCAAAAAATGTTGCAAAACACAACACACTGACTGTGATTAAATAAAAGAAAAGATCTTATTGGGATCATTATCATTTTTCGGAGTGAAGTAAGTAAGAAATTAAAACACATTAGTTCTTTCGAAAAAATATTCACTCTAAAAACAATTTAATGTTTCGTTGGGAAAAGAAAATAAGTAAATCACATTTTAGATTGTTAATAACAATGATAATGCTTATAATAAAACTTTTTTAATGTTATTAATCCTAAATGTCTAATTAAAAAATCTTTTTTACAAGTATTTCATGAAAATTTCAAATAGATTTGTTGCTCATAATGAAAGCTATATTTCAGTTTGAGATACAGAAATGATGGCTGGCAAATGATGGTTATTATGGTTGATGGTTGGCAAACGTGTTTAGAAAATGGAAAAATAAGGCAGACATAAAGCTTCTTATTTTTTATGGTTTTATTTTTTAATTGTTTAGACATTCTAAGAATATTTGAAACTGAAGAAAAGTGCTAAAAGAAAACCTAAAAGTCAAATCCCAAAAAGTTTTAAAATTTGCCATAAAGGAGACTTAACATTTAACATAAATTATTCTTAATTTACTAAACAGAAATTATTATTCATATCATCTTATTTAAAATTATAGTTAGTTTATAAAATAAAAAAAAAACTAAGTGAAAGTTTATGTGATTGGATAAGAGGTGCTTAAAGAGTTAAAGAAAGCTGACATCCTTCGAGTAATCTTACTTATAATAATAAAAGGAAGGATTTATGTGTTTGACTGTGAGGATCGCTTATAACTCCAGAACCTTTTGTGCACGCGTCCTGAAATGTGGACAGAGGGTGCAAGGAGTAATTTTAGCCGCTACCCTAAATGTCGTTCCAAAACTTTCCTTTTAAATCATTGGAGGTTAGTTTAGTTTGTTAAAACGTTTGGAAAATAGAATTTTCTTACTGATTTAGCATTAGCTATTGTTATAAAACATACTGTAAAATAATCTATTTTTTTAATCAAGTACTTAAGAGATAATGTCAATGATATTTCCTTGATTATAACTCTATTTAATAATAATAAAAAAAACATTGCACGTTCTTTGATGCTTAATTATTTTTATTCGTTATTCCAAGAAAGATCATATATTAACGTTGATGGTATGCGACGGCACCGAGTTGATATTTCTAAAGTTATCTGAAAAAGTGTTTATTTTGTTTAGAATTACGCTTTTGAAAGATATTTCTATAAAACTTAATATAGAACTTTCTATAAAACTAACTTGTTTTAAAATCAATGGTAATAGGGCATATGCATTTCAAGAAGAAGAAGATCACAATACCCACCCACGTGACCTATGACGTCAGCTACATTTGGTCGTTTCTAAGCAAAATGGCGCGTTAAAGTTAAGCTAAGTTTGTCCACATAAGTCAGAATGTTAATTAGCGTGAAGTTTATTAAATACAGCTTTGATAATGTTCATAAATATATTGCACATCGAATTCATTAAAATATAATTCTTTCTCGTCTGCGACTTTTGCTTAACTTATATTTATTATTTGTTCATGTATTTTACTGTAACCGTGATATATTTTTTTTTTGTGTACCTGGCAACTTCGATGCATAATTAGTGCGTTTATGTTCTGCATGGCTACGCGCCTGTCTTTGTGTTAAGAAATATATAATGAAAGAATTGAAATACTTATGAAAGAATATTTGTGTAAGAATATAGAATGTTTCACATAAGAGAGTTGATATTTTCGGGCTTGGCTTACTCGAAATAGAATGGAAAGCACAGTTGCAAACGTAAACAAATGCCACGTTTCAACAACCAATCAGAATCGACATACTCACACTACGTTACTTGTAGCTATCCCATTGGATACCTGCAAGTGACGTCCTGTAGGCATTTCTGGCATTCTGGCATTTGTCGCTTCAGAAGCTAATCTGGTTCGACACATGCACACGTGATGTCGCTTTCAAGTATCCAATTAAATCTGATTTAAATCACATGGTCAGTCAAAATTACTTGACTTCTTCTCGAGTTGCAAGTACCTAATTGAAAGAAAGAAATGTTATTTCCTAAAAATTAAAAATGAGGGGAAAAAAGAAATTTTTCGTTTTATAAAAACTTTAAAAAACAGCCCTCTACAACGCCAGTGTTGCTTAATTCAGTTTGGTACTTACACTATTGGTATTGTGGGAATAAGTATTGCTTTAAACTATACCAAATTATAAGATAATAGGTTGTTATGGCCCCCCGGAATAGATAAATACAGGATAAATTACTCGTTTGTGTTAAATTTTGACTCGAGTTAGGCGCGAACGATATCATCATGACAAATGATAATTAATATAGTTATTCCTTATTTTGATGCTTCTAAATATGTGTTTTGATTAATTTAATAACGTAAAGTCATCAAAAAGAGTGAAAAATATTAAATAAAAAAATTGGAGTTTAAAAATCTTTTAATTGTGTCGTTATTTTAATTTTTATGATTTCGCAGTGTCGATTAATACCTATTTATTGATTATTCACTTTTCCCATTGGACAAAAATAGAGCGTTCAGCTAGTTTATGATAAAATAGATAAAAAAAATTTTAATCCTCTTCTTGGAAAAATAGAATTGTATTCCAGGATTTTAGTTTATTTCCGTATGGAATATCAATATCTCAGAAAACAGTTCGATTAAATTTTTATCTTTTACAAGTACTTCAAAATCTTTTACAAGCACTTCAAGGAATAGAGGAAATTCCCTTGATAAAGTTAGTTGGGAACAACCCACCTTATCCTACTATTCAGATATTATATTTAAGGAGATTGATTTAAATTCCTTCATTCAATTTTAAAGTGAAGGTTAACAAAGTAAAAAAAAAACTTAAACGATGTAAGTATATTGTTTTTTGTTTCAATTGTTTAAAAAATATATTGATATCGAACAATCGTTATATGGAGAAGATTTTAGTACATTTATGTAGAAGAAATTATAAGTTTTTTATTGTTAAATTTAAAAATGTCAAATGTGTGAAACATTATTAAAATATCAAATGACACCTTTTCACAGGAGATCAATTTACTACAAATAAAAACATGAAATTCGCGTAAGGTTACAAGTAGAAATTTAGAGGAAAATTAATCTTTGAAAATTAAAGAGTAATTGTTTATTGCTTAAAGATTGGCAGAATAATCGGTAAAACTTTGAAATCATTTTATGAAGTCAAGTCTGAAGCAGTTTGTTAATTTAAATTTATTTACTTTGAACAAAAGCATATGAAATCAGAATTTAAGGTTATTAATTGAATCGATCGTTTATAATTTGTTTTTTTTTCTTATAATCCTTCATATACGAATAAAAATAATCGGAGTTCTATTGGTCCATTAAAATTTAAATTATTTGTGATAATTATGATAATAAAATGCCCATTGAAATTCTGAACTATTCGAATGGGGACAGTTCCCTTTTCAGAAACAATTGGTTTTATAAACCATTAATTTCCGCAGTTCATTTTTGGGGATGGTTTTAAAAACACATTATTATCTCAATTAATGTTTGGGCATAAATTTGACACTAATTATTTTAAGTAATTGCAGGTATAAAAAGTTTGATTCAAATTATTGCCAGTTTGATTTAAACGTATCATTTTGAAATGTGGGAGTGATAAGAATTCTTTTCTAAATTATTTCACGACATTTTTTATTATTGTATAAAATATTATTGACAAATATCCAATTGAGAAATTTGAGGGTTAAAAACGAAAAAAAAAGCGTCAGAAAAAACACTTTCTTAACGCAAAAAAAAAAACAAAAAAACAAAACAAATGAACTTAGAATAACTTTTGATCTAATGATCGGATCTTGACGCTATTGGACTTAATTTTAATTGTCTGAGAGGGTGATGTAAAATATGTTAATTAGACAGACGATATTATGTGCAAACGATATTTTAAGTTACGAAGTAAGACAAAAAAGTGCACTTTCTCTGAATAAACACACTTTTTTTTATGATGTATTCGGATTTTTGATATCGAAATATAGGGGATAGTTGTAATCTGAGAAATATGGTTCCCATAGCTTGGTCTGGAGAGCAATACAGAGTTTGTATCCCTTAATGTTATAATTATTTTTTTTATTATTGTAGTAATTTAGTAATTGCATATATTAAAAGTTTGGTTCAAACTATTGCCATGTTTTGCTACAAGTTTGATTTAAATGTACTTTTTTGAAATGTGGGAGTGATAAGAATTCTTTTCTTATTTATTTCACGACAATTTTTATTATTGTATAAAATATCGTTGCTCAAATATCGTAAATTCTGTACGCTCTGTGACCTTCAAGCGGAGATGGATGCAGACCACTTTCGTCTCTACCCGGCACTGAAGAATATCTCTTTGTGTGACCGTTACTGGAGCTCAAGAGACTTATTTGGTTCATAGACTTTTCTTGCCACGTTTGTTTTTGTTTGTGTTTGCTTATTTTATTGTTCCTCCCTTTGTGGTGAGTGGTCTTTTGTAACCTTGGCCATTGGAAATAAAAGAAAAACATTGACAAATATCAAATTGAGAAATTTGAGGGTGAAAATTTACGAAAAAAAAATAGCGCCAGGAAAAACGCTTTCTTAATGCCCCCCCCCCAAAAAAAAAGAAATAATAACTACCCTGAATAACTTTTGATCTAATGATCGGATCTTCACGCTATTGGACTTAATTTTAATTGTCTGAGAGCGTGACCTCAAATATGCTAATTAGGCAGACGATATTATGTGCAGACGATATTTTAAGTAACGAAATAAGACAAAAAAGAAAATAAAGTTCCTCTGAATAAACACACTTTTATTTATGATGTATTCGGATTTTTGATATCGAAATATAGGGGATAGTTGTAATCTGAGAAATATGGTTCCCATAGCTTGGTCTGGAGAGCAATACAGAGTTTGCATCCCATAATGTTATATTAATTTTTTTGTGCGTTTCGCCATACTTCGAGAACTTTTTAAGTGAATATTTTCGCACACAATTATGTAATTCGTCGATTTCTGGATGTGATTCTGGATTTGTTTTCTGGATATGAAAAGAAGGAAAAAAATTAATCAAACTTCTGAATAAAAGTTTTAAAATAAATTAGTAGAGGGGTATATTTATAGTTTTTCATTACTCTTGTGCTCTTGGGTGGTATCAATGTTAATATATGAATGCTAATGTTAAAAATTATCTTACTATCACATGAATTGTCGGAAAAATTGTAAAAATACGTTTTTATTAGTAAATTTTAAAAATGTATGTTGAATGTAACCTTATTTGCTTTTTCTCAATAAACTTTTTATAGGGGTTGGTGGCTATTCACTTGTATAACTACTTGGTTTATGTTAGTTGAAAGCTGCACGAATTCTACAGAATGTGATCGAAATATTAAATCTAAAATTCTTCTAAATAATGCATTGGATATGTTAACGAAAGCTAAAGAGAGTTACATAGAATGTAAGTATATGATTTCTTTTATTCGATTTTCCTTTTATTCGAACTCCAATCTTCGATTTGTAAAAGCTGACATTTATTTGATATAATGTGGAGTGCATTAAATATAATTGTATACTATTCTGTATCTTGGCACTGATATTATGTGTAACAAAATGTGTAACAAAATCATGCAGTGCATTTCTTATAATCATTTTCCTTCCCTGGTTTACATTGTCATCTTATACAATTAGTTGCTGAATATATATATATATATATAGGACAAAAAAAAAAAGAAAACTATAAATTACAATGTCAATACCTATTTTAAACTATATTAACAATTAAAATCTCCATCATGAAAATAATTTTATTGAATCTTTTATCTTTCTCACGTTTGATTACTATTAAAGGTTGTTTAAAAAGTTTTTTTTTCGTTCTATCAAATATTTTTCATCATATATTTACTTTAAAATTAGTGTAATTGTAGTGTGTCATTGCTTTACATTAATACTTTCAACGTATTTTGAAACATTTAAACACTTTACTGTTTAAAATGTAGAAGTATTATAACACATTTGAAGAATAGTTAAAAAAAACTTTGTTCTTTGGAATATTGTTTCAACGGGTAACTCAGTTTTTGAAAATTTCAGTTTGGTATCGCTGGCGTTATTTAAATAAGTTATTAAAGTTATATCTATTTTTTATAAGCTCTTTGATGCCATATTAAAAGGATTG